TCTCTCTCTCTCTCTCTCTCTCTCTCTCTCTCTCTCTCTCTCTCTCTCTCTCTCTCTCTCTCTCTCTCTCTTGTTTCGACTGCAATCTGCCCCCAACCAATCCCAACGCCCACCCCCCAACCCCTACCGGGCCAAGACAACCTTGCGAAACGGCCCGCTGTGACCACGTACGCGGACCCTTAATTTGGGTATGCGCGCATACATATGCGACACGGATGCACATACGTGCATACGCATATGCACGTATGCGGAGACCGCGTACGTGTACACCGTGCTACCCAGGTATGTATTTTCTGTCATTTCGAATAACCCGGAACAGGTCTTGGTATTGGGCCTATTACCGAGTCGCACGGTTTTCCTTTTGGTTCGTGCACATGCAGATACTATAAGAAGTGTGAGTACGATATCGTCATCCTTTTACGGTTCGCCCGGTCCTGCTGATGAGGTACTGGACGATGGGTTTGCGGTACGTTTGGAGGTTCTTGGGCGTGTGGTTGGAATTTGGTGCCGTAATTTTCGAGGATTTGTATTCACATTTGTCTTGTCTTGTCCTTCTTTGAGGTTCCTTGAATTGATGTGCTCGTCTTGTCTCGTCCCTCTTTGAGTTTTTTTACTTGACGTTTACTCTCTATCAGACAGTCATATGACACTATCAATTGCGTGTGTGAATGATCCTCGAGTCGCGTTGTCGGGATAAGTGAGCACGTTTCATGTTCTGTTCCGTTTTTCATCATTACACCGTTTAAGAGATTAACTGCATGTCAGTGCTACTTAGCCTGCAACACGCCGAGTCCTGACGTATGTCGGGACATGGAGATCTTCGAGACTATGGAGGCAGCAATCATGACCATGAAAGGAGCGGTCACGAGCAGAGCAATGGCGACCAAGAGCATGGAGGAAGACACTGTGGCTACGGGAGTGACAGAGCCTACGAGAGCGATAGAGGCCAGAGCAATGATAGATATGGTGACCGGTACTATGATCGATGACCGCGACGGGGACCCCCTACCTGCTTCAATTGTAGGGAACCAAGGCACTATGCTAATCAGTGCCCTCACGCACTGAGGAACGCTAACCCCGACAAGGGGATAGCAGGTGTTTGCGGGGAATCAAGTTCACCATGCAAACTGGATCAAACCAGACGTGTTACGGACTCAGCCAGGGCTCATTCCCTAGTCCGTGAGGTACCACCCGCCAGCCTACAACTCTTTTTTTTTTTTGATTTCCGGCTCTTCGGTTTCTGACTGTTGGCGCCCTCTGCAGTTGGCGCCCATTTTCAAATCCCTCCTTTGGCACTTTCGGATTTCGACACTTGGCGCCATCCAACATTCTGGCGCCCAGACTCAGACTTTCGATTCTCAGAGTCTTGAGGCAATGGCAGTTCTGCCCTTCGGATTGAACTTGAATCCGGTACTTACGACCGGACTCAAGCCCAGTACAGGCATTCAGTTTTCGGCCTCAGTGCTTGTGCTTCGACATTGTGTTCGGGAATCGAAGACTGCGACTAAGCGACTTCGCCACTTCGTGTATGCGTCCGTCGAGTCTTGACGAGTCTGCGTCGAGTTGAGTGAGTGTGTGTGTGTGCTCTCACCCTCTCATCTTTTTCCCTCGGCCTCGCTACTCTGCCTCTGCCTTTGCCTCGTCACAAGACGTGCACACCAAAGTGATGAGTTGGAATCTAAGGTAGCGGAGACTGGGAAGAGCGTGGCTGCCGTCTGCCAATATGTTGAAATCGAACAATAGAAGAAAGCGGCGAAGGAACAGAGGAAAGCCGATAAGAAAGAAGCAGAGGAGCGATCAGCAATCGGACGTGTTGAAGCCGAACTCAAGAAGACAAGGAATGAAGAAAAAGCACACAAGGAGGCGGAGAGAAAGAAGGAGATCCACAAGTGTTTGGACATCAAGATGGTTGTGCGAGTAAGAGAGCACTGTGAAGAGGTTCGAGAGGGTGTCAAACAAGAAATTCGGGATGCGATCGGAGAGTTGTGCAAGGTAGTGGCACGTGGCAAGAAAAAGGTAGCTCCATCGGAAGCAACACCGGAGAGCAGTGCTAGCAGCAACGAGACCAAGGAACTTAATCTGCGTACGTGCAATTTATGCCTCACGGAGAAGAGAAAAAGGGGTCCGAAATCGGTTATCGAAGGCAGTCCGCCTATGGAGCTAGCGTCGAAACGCACGCCTCGACGAGCTGCGAGATCAACCGGACATGCTGGGAGAATAATGAGAGTTAGGAATAAGGCGATGAAGGCACCGACTCCTAAGAAGACCCCGCCCTCCATTCGAACGAAGACTCCAGTAGCTACTGGGTTAGTTGGAAGATTGAGATTCGAGAAGAAGGTGATGAACGACTTGAAATGCTTGGATGCTCTGGTGTTGCAGAACATTTGCAAAGACGAAGGGATACCATACAATGGTAAGTTCGAATCTATCTTCGATATTGCGGCACACCGTACGTGCGTCACTTACGAGACTGATGATGAAGATGAAGATACATCTCAAGAAGAAGATACTGAGGAAACTGCCGAAGACGAGGAAAAGACAACTAAGGAATGATGTGGCTCCAATATTGTCGATTTGTGGAGTATCGTAAACTGCCTTACCAGGATTCGAACCTTCATAGATGGGGTGGATAATAGAATTGAGCAACTGCTTCGATTAGCGATAGTCAATCTGTCGTTGTTTGGCATTCTCCGATGGACACGAAAGTGTGTTGAAGCTTGGATACGCCTGTTTGATTTGTTTGGCACTAAATTCGTCAATCTGACATCTAGCGTGTATGTAGCTTTGTCTCCTGACTGCAAGTCACAGTACATTGGTAACTCTTCGAGACACCTTGACGTACGTTGGCGGGAAAATATTTATGAGGGTCGTACGAGATCACCTGACCATTTTTACTGATGGTTGGGGGCTTTTGGAGTAAAGAACTATGTCCTCATAGTAGTTGACACGATAGTCAACGATGAGTGGACTAAACTTGAGAGTGTGTACATCCGTCAGTGGTCCCCTCACTTGAATAAGTCAGGTGTTCGATCAGGAAAAAATTGCATTGGGAAAGAACGGTCATTAGGGAAGAATGAGAGGTCCAGGATAGTCAGGTACATGAGAGGCAACGAGTCATAGCACCCATTCGCTTTCGAACAAACGCATCGGATGAATGGCGACTTGATTTGTTTGCGATATTAAAGGAACATGAGTCGTCGGGGGAAAAGAACTTTGTCACTAGTGGTGGTAACGTCTGGCAGTCAGCATAGAAGAATATTTCCAAGAAGTTTGAGACTACCTAGTTATCTCGTGTTTCCGAAGCTAGTCTACTTAAGAATTGCAAGACGTGGTTTGACGATGGGGGTTGTATTGTTGTTGAGTACGCAGTTTGGTGGAAAGCGTACTGCGGATATCTGAAACATTTCTTGATTTCTTTTTTGAAAAATTCGGGAGCTATAGGGAAGATCTATAAGTGGGGTATGCGTTCTATGCTACGACTCTATAATGCAATTAAGGATTTTTCGAGGAAGTCAACCAGGAAGTACCTGAGAAGAATAGTTTCACGACTGTTTCTTGATAAGTTTAATCTCAGCCGGAGCGCTGACTTGCTAATCAAGTTCAAGTTTGATGATAGGATCAATGTCTGCGAACTTCGTAAGGTAGTTAATGATATTTTGTTTAGTTGTGACTTACCCACCTGCTTCATGTGTTGGGCACGGAAGAAAACTCGGATAGTCTAGCAGAAAATCCGGACCGTCGGCGAGCTCCTGCACAATCATCAAGTTTTCGCATCCCGTAGTGTGTTGAACTGTAAGTGTACAGGCTTACCCTATCCCCGAGTGGATGGGCACGTGTTGTTTCGCCTGAAGAAGGATATGGTTGATCGCGCTTTATTAGCTAACGCTAATAACAGTCCACGATCACAAAAATCGGATCGTATGTTTTCCTTCCAGACAGAATTTGAACAGGGCTTTCGAAACTGGAGAAACTTTTGAGGTAAAGTACCAAGTATACCGTTGGTAAGGTTGGCCAGATGCATGCAAGTCAATGGTGAGAATGGGGATTCTCAGTTGTTTGTGAAGAATGTTGAGAACTTGATGAAGCAATTTGATGGTCTTGTACTAACCCCACGAGATCGAAATCAGGGTGAGACGGTTGTCATGTGCCCGAAGTCCTATTACGAAGCTATGATGAATACGTTCGTGAGGAACGCAGGCTACACTATTATGCCTTTATCTGAATCTGTTTTGCTTTGTGAGGTAAGAGAGGATATCAAAGACGCTGGTCTGCAGAAGTTCGTCCGATGGGATAACAGAGGCAAGTTGGGGTTAGCATATGTAATCCCGAAACATAAGGATTTGACAAGATATCGCCCGATTTGCCCTACTTTTAGCAAACCAATGGTTCATGCCAGTAGGACCGTGGGAAGAGGATTGAACTTCCTATTATCCCGACTACCAACTGACTGTCACAACTGACGACGAGACTGGGAAAGGTCAACAATAGGATTAGACGTATCAGACACTTAACCGATATCACAACACGGTCCTTTGACATCAAGGACATGTTTAGTCGATTACCACATGGCAACATCTTGAGTGCAGTGGAGTGGTTACGAGAGAAGGTTAACCGACCCCCCATTTTTCAGGTCAATTTATAAGAAAACCATAAGGCCATTTCAAGCAAACTCCACACCAATGTATAAAGTGCACTTCTTACTAACATATTTAAAAAAAAAAAAAAAAAAAAAATTAAAAACACATAAAACAGCAACCCAAAAGTGCATTTTCAGGCAATTNAAAAAAAAAATTAAAAACACATAAAACAGCAACCCAAAAGTGCATTTTCAGGCAATTTTGGCATGAAACACGTCATCCAAATTTCAGGATTTTCAGGCCTCCCAACAACACAAATTATAATAACCCAAATAATACCAAATTTGGCAGACAGCAACCTTAAACCAAAACAAAAATAGACAAAAAAACAAAAAAACAAAAAACCAAAAATTTGACCCCCAAACCCTAATTTCAGTTTTGGTCCCATTAGTCAGGAGCTTTGAGGTCCCTGTTAACCATTTGTGAGGGACTATCACGAGAAGAAAGATTGCGATTTCGTTAGAGTGAATACTAGGGGGAGAGGAGCATCATTTGGGTTGACAACAGGGGCGGACCACTGGAGGAAGGTGGACTTTGAGGATTTGAGGAAGTTTGCTTCGATGGACTTGCAACACACGTACACATTCGCCACGACGGTACTACTTAGGCAGGATGTGGGCATCCCTAAGGGAAAGGGCACCAGCCTCTCCTGCCACGCATCCTGTGTTCTTATGCCTAAGCAATGTTTTTGCGTAGTCTGGGATGGTATGGTCGTCTAGTGTTCGGTGTTAGGCTAATGGATGACGTGATTCAAGTGGTTGCCTCGCTGTCTAGAGAAACACTGGATTGGGTGTTTCAGCAGTTCAAAACCTGCTACCCTCGTAACCTATGTCTGAAATGCGACGGGACTGGGACTTTGGATTTCCTCGGATGCGAAGTGAGGAGCTCACGTAACTACCCGTATTTGGGTTGCGTACAGATGTCTCGAAATGAGGAGAGCATATGGACTTCAAAGGACATGGAGTTTCAAACTGGACAATCCTTCCTCTCCTGGGTAGCAAGCAACAAAGAGTGTTGCAATAACCAGTAATTTGCATCGTATCGATCGGAACACCTCCATTCGCAACGAGATCCCAGGGAGAGTACTGTCACTAAAAAGAGAATTGAGGTTGAAAGACGTCCCAACAAGTTTCTTTGAAAGGGTGCTACGGAGGTTTGCATTCAGAAGGGACACGTTGTGGAATCAAACCTTACTTCTGACAAGATGGTGAGACGGAGTAATGGTACTGAAGCAACACGTGTCTTGTTCTGTTCTTTGTTGCATATGGTTGGACAGCGTTAGGTACCATAATCGGCAGTACTGACGTTTTTTGCTCTCATTAAGTCTTGGTAGGTATAGTTTGTCGCTGTATTCTCTTGGTTTATTATAATTTGCGTAGTTGAATTTGACCTGTCATCAGTACTGGCCTGTATTAGTTTGTCCTCGTTAATCATTACTGAAGAGGACTCATACTTTCGTCGAATGTGTGTTGTCTTTTGAAAATGTACCCTGGAGCAGGTCCCGAACCAGACCTAGCACCGGGTTGTGCGAATTGTTTGTCTATACGTATTTGGAATAGTCTGTGTAGGTGTAGGGTATGTAGTTTTTATCGTTTCGAATACCCCGGAACAAGTCCCGGTATTGGGCCTATTCCCGGGTCACACGGTTTTCCCTTTGGTCTATGCACATGCATATACTATAAGAAGTGTGAGTATGATATCATCGTCCTCTTACGGTTCGCCCGCTCCCACTTACGCAGTAGTGAACGATGGGTTTGTAGTACGTTTGGATGTTCTTGGGCGTGTGGTTGGAATTTGGTGCCATAATGTTTGAGGATTTGTATTCACATTTGTCTTGTCTCGTCTTTCTTTGAGTTGCTTGACTTGACGTGCTCGTCTTGTCTCGTCCCTCTTTGAGTTGCTTGACTTGACGTTTACTCTGTGTCAGACACTCATATGACACTATCCCACCAGCAATCAGAAAAAAATAAAAATAAAATATTTTTTTTATTATKTTTTTTTAACTTTTTTTTTTTTTAATCACAAAAAACATCAAAAAATAAAATAAAAAATATGGGAACCCCATGTATATATATATATATATATATATATACATATATATATTTCGCCTATTATTCTAGGAATTAAAAATGTTGGGGGCTTGCAACCGCACTTGGCCCCCACGGCTAACCCCCGTAGCTGGCTCCCATGGCCATGATCCTGACCGCATACGGTCAGTGGGCCCGCGGTCATGACGACGGGTGATACATAGGTTGCAGGTACCCGGTTTGAACGTGCAGGACAACCAGGTCTTATACATCTACTCTCGCGCTTTGCCTGAGCCCATTCGTGGACAGCTCGTGGCTGAAGCGAAATCCGGTGAGTATAACTATAGGCAGTTTCAAAACCTCATACTCCAAAGGGAGCAGATGACAGCACAGGTGAAGGGAACCTAGGCGTCCGTTGTACGAAGTGGACCGTCTGGTGGGTATGGGAATGGTAAGCAAGTCATGTGGCGGCAAAAGCAATGGGACGACATACTTGTCGTCTTTGATGACGACACAATTGAGAAGATTCCTCTCGATGAGGCCGAGGGTGGAGTAAGCAGTGGCAATGAGTTTGGAAAGGGTGACGTCACTACCATGGTGGCCGACAAGGGTGGCACCAACTCAGGTGGATACTATAAGAAGAAGAGACCACACTCCTTCTCGGAGCATCCCGACATTGCAGCCAGAAGGCTGTGGGAGAAAATGAATTTGACTAGGGAAGAATGGAAGGAGCGGAAGAATGGTAGTGTCTCAAGTGTGGCACTGTAGGACACATTATTGCATGGTGCCCCCTCATCCGTAACTCAAAAGGGAGCGGCTAGTAGGAGTAGTGTTTGCTCTTACTGAGTTGGAGGGTTCAGTTGAAGATAAGGTGCCTATAACCCCTTTCAACCCCCTGACTCACATGACAGAGGATGACTCTTATTCTGCCCTTCGCTCAAAACACCCTAAGATTGTTTCATGTTCCGTCTCTCTGAGCGGTGCCCTTGACGAACTTGGAAATACAGTGATGCTTTGAGAAGTTTGTGGACTAAGAAAGCGAAGTCTAAGGGTGAATTGATGATTGTTGATATTGAGATTGCACGTACACGAGTAGGTGCTTTGTTAGATCTTGGTTCAACGAGGTCCTACATTTCAGAAAAGGCAATTAAGAAATTGACAAATTGCATCACGGAATGCGTGTGCAGGACCTACAACGACCTATCACGTTTATGCTTGCGTATAAAAGCACGATTATTGTCTCTTCATATGTTAGTCATGTTAAATGTTATTTTTGAACGAAAGAAGGAAGATGAATATTGCGTGAAGTAAACTTCCTCGTAGAAAAAAACTTACCTTTTGACTTGATTCCGGAATGGATTGGCATGAGGAGGTCGACTCATAATTCAAATTCAAAGAAAACATTGTCAACCTAAAGGATGAAAATTCTAACCTGAAACCAATTAAACTGTTTTATAAGTCTGATTCTGACTCATCCCTATCTTTCTGTTGTTTGATTCTTCCAGACTCTTCCTGCTTTTCGAAGTATCGCCATGAAAACGAAGTTGGCACAAGATGTAGTGATGGTACTCATAAAGCGAGTCGGTGAGTGTTCTTCGTCTTATCATCCTTCTGTAGAAAAACTTTTAATTGAACTTAAGGATTTGCAGACTGAACCTACGGGGCTCACTGAACGTGCTATCAAACACACTATCGAGATAATTCCCGAAAGTAAGATTCCTAAATAACCCATCTATCGAATGTCAAAATAAAAAAAAACAACTATAAGAACTTACAGAGAAAGGATGGATTCGACCAAGTTCCTCTCCCTATGGTGCTCCTGTGTTGTTTGTGCCCAGAAAAAAAAAGAGAACTTACACTTTGTATTGATTATTGTGGGCTGAATGTTGTCACTGTGAAAAACGCAGAACCTCTTCCTCGCATTGACGACTTGTTGGATCAGTTGCAGGGATGTAAGTATTTTAGTAAGATTGATCTGAAGTTGGGATACCACGAGATCGAGGTGGCATCTGAAGATCAATACAAGACAGTCTTTCGAACCAGGCATGGTCAGTACGAGTTTGTGGTTATGCCTTTCAGATTGACTAATGCACGTGCTACTTTTCAATGGTCTATGAATGAATTGTTTCGTCAATGGTTGGATCAGTTCGTAGTGGTGTATCTCGACGATATCCTCATATATAGTAAAACACTTGAGGATCGTGAGAGACACCTACGAATGGTTCTACCAAAGTTGTGAGAAAACAACAAACTGAATCCTAAGAAATTTGAGTTTGTTAAATCTGAGGTACTATACCTTGGACACATAGTAAACGAAGAAGGATTAAGACCCGAGGATAGGAAAATAACAACAATTCAGGATTGGCCCAGACCCAAACTCAGATCTTTTCTACGACTTGCTAGTTAATATTTAGATTTGTAAGGAACTTCTCACTGATAGTTGCGCCTATGAGAAGACTTTTGAAGAAAGAAAAACCTTGGTTATGGGACAACAATTGTGAGTCTGCATTTAAAAAGTTAAAACACGTGTTAAGCTAGCTTTCCCGGGGTGCCCGGGGGGGGACCACGCCCGGGGTACCTCGGGCATGCTTTTTTTTTTTTTTTTTTTTTTTTTTTTTTTTTTTTTTTTTTCGGGGCCTTTCTGCGCATTCCGAGTACTGCATATACCCGGCCTCGTAATAGGCTCGTAAGCCTCGTATCTAATTTCTATGGATAACATTGGATCAATTTGGATGTCGATTTAGGTCTGTTTCGGGGGCAGTGAGGATGGTGAGGGGAGGGGGTGCAGAAGCGGGGTGGATCCCGGGTTGCCCGTTTTGCAGGACCAGGGATGGAGCAACTGCTTTGTCCCACTTGTACTTGAGCAACTGCAGCTGGTGGCATGCACACAGCAACTACTGCATCCCCCGTGGACTCGCAAAAGTAAAGCAGGTTGAGGCACTCACAAGCAGCAAATGTCAGCAAACAAAAATCCCCTGATTTCCGAACACTGTCGCAAAATAATGTCTCATACCGAGTCCGCTGCTGGAGACTAGCGGGACAGAGTTGCTCAAAGTTTGCTGCTTGAAATCACGGGGAGTAGCAGACTGAGTCTGAGTGTGGACTCAAACTTGAGTTCCAGTCCACACTCAGACTCAAACCGAGTCTGAGTCTAGACTGAAACTCAAGTTTGAGTCCACACTCAGACTCAGTCTGCTGCTCCCCGTGATTTCAAGCAGCAAACTTTGAGCAACTCTGTCCCGCTGGTCTCCAACAACGGACTGAGTCTAAGTGTGGACTCAACATTCAGACCCGGTTCCAGTCCACACTTAGACTGAGTCCGCTGCTCCCCGTGATTCCAAGCAGCCATGCAAGCAAACTCGAAGTCATGTTGTAAAGAATGGCAGGCTGTAAACAACGTAAGTGGCAAAGTGCAGCCGACACGAACTTAGAGGTCTTACAAATTGTGATCGACAGTGAGCCTCCATTGACATAACATGGTAACAAACTGACAGTCATAACACAAGAAGAAGAAGATGAAGAAGAAGAAGAAGAAGAAGAAGAAGAAGAAGAAGAAGAAAGAAGAAGAAGAAGAAGAAGTACAAGAAGGAAAAGGCACAACATTGATTGCATAAACCCAAGGGATTAACTGTGCGGAAAAAACACCACTTCGACTATGACCGTTGAACATCATCAGCCCTCAGACTAGTACAGGTGTATGGCCTTCCAGCTTCCTCCCCCGCCGAGCCCTATTCCCGGTCGCTTTCCTGATCATCTTCTTCACTCTCATTGCTGCTTTCTTCCGCATCCGTCGGATCGTCCTCAACGACCCTCGCCTTCCTCGCCGCCTTCCTCTTCGGCCGCTTCGACGGGTGTGTCTCCACACCGTCCACTATGAGTGCAGGGCCCCCTTGCACCTTCCTTCCTTCAATCACATGCTGTTCCACCTCACCCCCTTCACCACCATCCTCGCCGACCGGAGCGCAAGCTGATGGAGCTGGCTGAAGTGGGTACTTTCGCGGGCGCCCCCTTTACCTTGCCACTTTTGGACCTGTGTCAGGCTGCACCTTCTTCTTCCTCCCCGCCAGGCTCACGTCCAAGTTGTCGTGCTGCACGCCCTCAACCTGGGCAGGGAAAGGAAAGGTTTGAACCACACCCCGGACTGCTGTTGCACTGGGCAATGGAGGCCGTCTGGAGTACACTCGAGCGACTCCCGTTGCACTCCCGTTTTCTTTTTGCTGCTGCTGCAGCGGATCGTGCTCTAGTTGCTTATGCGGACCATCGTGCTCTTGCTGCTGATGCTGCTGCATTCCATCCTCCTTTGTCTGCTGCTGCTGCTGCGCTCCATCCTTGTGCTGCTGATGCTGCTGCTGTTGCGGATGCGGTCCATCTTCTTGTTGTTGTTGCTGCTCTAGTCCGTCGTGTTGTTCTTGTTGCTGCTATTGCTGCCGATCATCCTGTTGCTGCACCTGCTGCCGCTGCAGTCCTTCCTCTCGCTGTTGCTGCCGATCATCTTGCTGTTGCAGGCCCTCCTCTTGTCTTTGCTCCTGCAGGCCTTCCTCTCGCTGCTGGTGCTGCTGAACGTCTTCCTCTTGTTGTTCCCGTTGCATGCCTTCTGCATGCCGCTGCTGCTGAACCATCTCCGCTGGTAGACATCCGCCCATTCCCGTCGTTGTATAGTTCATCCTCATCGGAGGGGGGACAACACTTCGTTTTGCTGCTTCCTCTCGAATCCGTTGCTCCACAAGGGCGTGATCACGATGAGCAAGGGACTGCGCCTTCGCCCTCCTAGCGTCGTCATCGAGGTCTTTGCCCAGTTCGACGCATGCGTTGAAGTCCATCCCCCGAGGCTGCAAGAACTCCAGGTCACTATCAATGTAACCCCACTCCATGTTACGTGTGAGGTCGTCATCCAGCTCGTTGTCGTCGCTAGATATGTTGCTCGCTCTTGGCGACCGCAAAGTAAAGTTCCCGGGATCTTCCTCGCTCTCCTCAATATCCTCTTCCTCATCGTCCACATCAATCTGCGCCTTGCCTTTGCCATCCATCTGCGGCTTGCCTTCGCCGTCATCGACAACAACCTTTTTGTTCTTGCCTTTGCCTCTCCAAATAAGGTCCTCCCCATCATCACTGCTGTCCGTTGAGCTTGATCCATCAACGACATGAGGCTTCATGACTCTAGCTCTGGGGATCTTCGTTAGATTTGCCCGGCGGGCCACTTCCTCGTCACTCAAGTCTGCTGTAGTTGCAGCCCTTGGCAACACTGCAGGATCATTCGGCGTTGGTGCCTCCACTTCATCGAAGAATGCAGCCCATATGTCCCAGTACGCTGCCAAGCTTCCTGTACTCTTCTTCTTCTTCTTGATGTCCAGCAGGTGAAGATTCCAGTGGATGTACACTAGCTTGGCGAGGCTGTCAGGCGACAGCGGGCCCCTCCTCTTGTCGTGGACAAGATCGAGAGAGGACCAGTTCCTCTCACAAGGGGTTGCAGTGCTCCACATCGCTGTCACTCTCATGGCAATGTCTCGCAACTTCTTGTGAGAGGCCCCATGGTGGTTCCACCATTCGGAGGTTGTCATTTGAACAAGGGAGCTGTCGAAGATCGCAAACTCAGTCCACAAGCTCTCCTCCACCACTTTCCCTGTCACTGGATCCTTCACCAACATATCTTCAGTTGGCGCCTTGTGGAAAACTTGCAAGTCCACCCACAGACCTAGTTGCTCGTCGCCCCCCCAAGCGGCGTCCTCTTTGCACTGTGATAGGAAGAACTTGAGGGTGTTTTGGACCAGCGGGGAGTGCATGTCCATCAACCACTTGTTGTCTGTCCTCCTTGGGTCAAGAAGAAAGTCCGCTGCATGAATGGGCTGCCTCATCATCTTCGTCCGCTGCTTTACTCCCTTCATGATCGCCCGCCGCTGCTCATCGGTCAACCGCGTAAGTGTCTTCAGACGCTTGCCCAACCCTTCGTCAAAGTGCCAAAGGCTTGGGGGGGCTGTGCCGTTGCGGTCCATCTTCCTTAGTAGCTCGTATATTTGCTCCAGCACATCCAAAATCGTGCGCAACTTCTCCCACCATTCGGATGCGGTAACAGTCTGGTACGTCAGGTCAGACTTGTCTCGATCTTTCCTTGTGCTCCATCTCAACTGCCTCCACTCCTCCTCCATCATCTCCTCAAGCACACACCTCCTTCCCCAAAACCGGTTCATCATCATGTATGCGAACGCGAAGCGGACCTCCGTGGGCAAAATCAAAGTCAATTCCCTCGAAAGTTCTGAGCACCTCGTGTAAAGGCTGTTTGTGTTATGGTGTTTCCTTATGAACTTGACCATCATCTTCGTGCGCTGCACCACTTGCTTCACCYAGTCGAGCTCGCAGACATCCTTCATCAACAAGTTCAAGCAGTGAGCTGCGCAAGGGACCCATGGAATGCTTGATATATCACGATCTGTACGCCTTCGCAGGATCCGTGCAGCTTGCTTGTTGACTTCTGCATTGTCCGTGCAGATTGAATTAACCCGATGCACCCCAATGTCCCTGATCATCTGCTCCCACATTATCACCAGAGCGACTGTAGTCTTCTTCTTCTTGGACATATCCACGACCTTCAATAGGATCGCACCGCTCTCGCCGGCCCCAATGAAGTTCATCACAGGTCTGTACCTTCGATCTGTGCACCCATCAGTGAGGAGAGTGCAACCTGTGTCATCCCACTTCACTTTCAGCGGCTGCATGTCATCCTGCACCTTGTTGTATATGATGTCCAACACAACAGTTCACCTCCAAGGAAGGCATCTTCACCCGCTGCCTTTTCTCCCCCAACTCGAGGTACAAGTCGTGCAGCTCCTGTGTCTCTTTCGTCCTGACGTAGTTGAATGGGGCGCCATGTCGGAAAAGGTGCATCCCCATGCCACATCCAATTTGTGCTGCGAATCGTTGGTTGCCCACCTTTTGATCGATGATTGTGTCAACTTCCCGGATTTTGGGCCCGCAGCGGATCCCTGCGCAGACGTCCCCGGCATTCCACCACCTTCTTCCACAACCCCCTCTCTTGCCTCTTCATCAACTTCCACAGTCGGCACCGTTCTGCTCTGCCGTGTTGTCGGTGGCACTCTGAACGCATCCACTGTGTCCCCTTGTGCCTCCACCTCCGGAATTGCAGAAACCAAACCGTCCTGGGGGATGTTGTGCTCCATCCGATACAATTGGATGAGCCACAACGTCTTCTTGCAGTCAATTGCATGCCCCTTTGCAGCAAGGATGTGAAGCATCTCCGGATAATGCACGAGGCATGGATTAGTTTTCCGTGTGAAGTGCGGCCACACACGCGTGTACGACGCGACCCAATCTGCGCCGCACAGATTGCACTTCACTCTGTACTGCCCCTTCGACAATGGCGGGACCATCTGCCCCTGCATCACCCACTTGAATGCCACCTTTGTCGCCTGCAGTTGCAACTGCCTTGCCTCAGGCTGCGGCTGAAACGGTTCCTTCACACGTGTGCCGCTATCGTTCGAACCTGCCTCCTCCTTCCCCCTCGAAGTGCCTGCCCCGCTTGAAGATGCCATCTTGCACAAGGTTTACAAACGAGGAGGGGAAGAAGAAGAAGAAGAAGAAGAAGAAGAAGAAGAAGAAGAAGAGCTCGATGTGAAAACAAAAAAGAATCACAAAGTCAGGCTGGCAGCTTGACA